TCTATCACCCTCTTGGAGCTGCAGTATTTAAAAAATTGATAGCATTTTGTACATAATGTTTGTTCCTTCTTGCCTTGTAGTCAGCACGATTAAAATACAAGCTGGCAGCACAGCCCGCAGTCGTGTGGTTCCTGTGTTCTTTTCCTCTAGATGATACTAGATGATGATGCAGTTTGGAGTTACAGACTGGGAACTCTACTTCCATTTCCACTTTTCCTCTTGCTTCATAAATTCTTGTCGTAATTTGGGGAATCTGCAGAACAGTTCTGATAGGTCAAGATAGAAAATGATATTCTTGTTTTTCAGGATTTGTCCTTCTGCAAATATCCTTCCTAACATTCTGAAGATTAATTTTAAGCTTCTGAGTACTTGTGACTGTACAATATAATATACTAGTTATATATTAGTAGTAGTAGGCTTGGATCTTTTCACCTTGTTTTTTTTTTTTAAATATTTGCATTTGCAAGTGTCAACTATTGCATTTCTCTAATTTTCTCCCTTTAGCTTTTTTCTTCATTTCTGAGTATTGTGCAAATGACAAAGGAGTCAGGTTGGAACAGAGAAGAGTTAAGAGTTTATTTTAAGCATGAAGATGTTTTACTTATTTGGGGTGTTTGTAGTACTTTTTGGTCTTTCTGAAGACAAACCATTGGTGGCAACTTCTTCCTGCCAAACTTCACTAAGAGAAAGCAAGAATTAGAGCATGAGCATGAATGCTAATCAATGAAAAAGAGAAGGATCTTTTCCTCCACAGTAATTCTGGATTCATATATCTTTGCTACTTTCCCAAACCTATAAAAGAAGAAAAACTGCTGTCTTGTCTCACTCTCTATAAGAAAACAAGCTATTTATTTTCAAGAGGAGATATTTTGAGCTCTCCTGTTTGGGAAGTAAGTCACTGTAAGACAGTGGAGATGAATTCCTAGCACCACGGAGTCTGCAAGTCTGGTATCTGTGTACATGTATAGGATCATGTTTTAGTTGAGTGGTTATTTTCTTTTTTTCTTTTTTTTTTTAGCAATACAGTCATTCAAGAAATATCAATTTTATTCAAGTTATTTTGTCCATAGTAGTCTTTTGTAGATGCTATTTCACAACAAAAGTTGTATGAGGTAACTATATGTATTTACAACTTCAATTTACAGTTGAAGTTGAGACAATTAAGAGAACACTGTTAGATGGATCATGGACCTTACCTATTGCTTGTCATACAGATAAAATTTTGCTTACATTCAAAAAAAAACCTGCAATAATTTATTTGTTTTACAGCAGCAAACTAGATTTTTAGCAGCAGCATTAATGAATCTGAGTTCTTCTGTGTTTTGAGGTTTGATTCTTTGAGATAGAAGTAGCTATGTACTGAGACCAATCTTACTTACAGCTGAGGTTTTTCCTGTGCTAGTGTCACTTAAAAGACTCTGGAGCTTCACTCTTCCCTCTTATCCTTACCGGGAGCATTAATTGCTGCTATTTTCTTGGCCACTGGCATTTCTGAACTTGTAGGTGCTTAGTATATTTTAAATTCTTAAAATATAAGTAGCAGATAGTGAGTTGAACAGTTGTTGGGGGAAAATATGTGCACGCAATTACGCAAACCTCGTTTGCTTGAGAGGGAATTCTTGGATGTGATTTATAAGGCTGTTATCTAATGGAGGAGCTCTAGTTGCCACAGATTCTGCTGAAAAGAATCTTAAAGGAAATATGCCTTTTGAGCTGTAATATGGGGAAGAAACAGAAAAGGAATATACCACAGCAAGGTTAGAGTCCTTTCACAAGCAGTGGAACAGCAGCATATAATTTACCTTATTTTAATTCTCCCTTTATATATTCTCATATGAAGTTTAAGGTATTTTGGACAATAGTTGATGGAGAGTGTCCATATTGTTCCATTTTAAGATCGAATGTGCTGAACTTGATATGGTGTCATAGTATGTGCACTTGTTAGAAAAAATAAGTGCTCTGTATTTAGAAGTGCTCTGTATTTCACCTACATGCTGAAGGCTTCAAAAATTCAAAATCTGTGTTTCTTCTGGTCTTTGTCATAGAAGCAAAAATACCATCCCTGTATGTTTATACATAAGGTAGTCTGAAGTATTACTAAAGAGTTAAAAAGGATGACATTTGGGTCTCTTTCATGTGGTTCCAGCTGATTCCATAGCGTTGAGTGAGTCAAGAGGAGTGTTAAACGAGAACTGTCTGAGTTGTAAGCGACAGAAATTCAGGGTAATTTTTGGTAGACTAGAGGAAGCAGCTGAAAGTAGCAATGAGTTCTGGTATCAGAGGCTTCTGCTTCAAAACATACATTTATAATTTTAAACACGAGCCTTAATTTGTTAGCCCGCGGGGGATGGTGCAAGCCATGTATTTTCCCTAGATTCTGTGGGAGGAAAGACAGTTAATTAATATTGTGTGTTTCCCCTTGCTCTACTGCTCTCTGCCTTTTGTTATTCTTTGGGTAAGCCGATTATTGATCTCCGGTTGACTGATATGGGAACACAGCCTGCATTTGAACTTCAGAAATATGTGAGTTTCTCGAGTATGGGTACTAGTTGAAGGCTTTTGCCTAAACAGATGAAGCATTACACAGTTTGACTACTCATCTCTGAGATTTGCTTAATATGCCATTTCATATGCTTGAGAGTACATTTTCAGGCTGAAGCATAGTTGCAGGAAGGGTGCTTCTCCCTCCTCCCCCTCTTCAACTGCATTAATGAAAATACTCTTAAAATTTTTTTAATAAACTTGTTTTATTAAAACATGTGGTGTTTGATTTTTTTTTAATATATAAAAGTTGAACACAGGATGAATCAAAACTGGCTTGTGCCCTGGGGGTAGATTTGTTTCTTGGTATCTGCAGAAATGGCTATATGCCAGACTACTTGAAAACTTGGCTAAAGCTTTCTGGAACAATTTTATTACGTTGTAGCAGTGCAAGCTGAGGAGCACTTGTCCTCTAAGGCCTATCAGGTAGTTTGTTTGAATTTCTGAGCACTTGCCAAATCTTTAGAAGTTTAATTGGGCTGCAGCTCACTGCAGGTTTCATTACCATAGTAATAGACACTGAGAGGGAGCAGAACCTGAATAGAGCAGGTGCCTTTATTGCTGCTAATAAACTTCTCTATATATTATGCATTCACGTGAATTAAATACTTTCCACTATTTGCATCTTCAGCAATACTGAAAGTATGAAATCGTGACACCTTGATAACTGTGCATGAATAGGTTTAATTTTAAAGATTTCCACCTGATTGTCTCCTAATGTAGACTTATAGGTTCTACCATGTATGAATTATCTAGATACCTGAATAAGGGTTTGGATTTATATTCTAAAGACAGGTTGCCTAAAAGTTAAATATTTGTATTCTTCTTGTCCTTATCTAAACTGGTAGGGAGAAGAGAATAATCTCTTCTATAAAGCCATTTGGGACTGGGAGGTTTCTATTTCACTGTAATATCAGGATGCATTTAAAATACTGTTTGATGGATAGAGTTCTAGAATCTACAACAACTGTAATGTAGTTTTTGTATTAACTATTAGTATCAAAGGGTGCAATTACATCTCTTCAGCAGGTCTTGTCTGCTTGTGTTGGATGCAGTTGGATAAGGAATTCTCATACGTGAGCAGAATATGTTTTAATGTTCTTATTTCACAATTTACCTGGTTATTATAGCATAATTAAGCCTAGTTATTTTGACAGAAGCTATATTTTCTACTAGAGACAGTCTTTTTTTTTTTTCCCCTAGATTCTAAGGCTTTAATCATGTAACTCCCTGTTTTGGTAGTGGAAGACTATTTCAGAACTGTGTTTTTATGATCACCAAAGGCAGTAATGCAATAACGCTGCAGTGTAGAACTAGAACCTCCTCGGTTTAAATTTTTAGTTTAGAAAAGCAAGCAAAGTAGTGCACAACTGAGCTCTTTGGAGCAGGGGAATGTGACTGAAAGTCTTTGTAATTCCAGAGTTACAATATGGTGCTATACGTTTATATGCCAATGAACTGGAAGACCCCAGCACTACTTCAGTATGTTTTGTTAATTTGTATTTGTCTTGTGGTTTTTTTAAGCCTTAAGTGAGCAGTGACATTGATCAGGGGTATCTGCTCAACATCAAAGTGGTATATGAAGCAAACTGGTTCTGCTTTGCATTTTGATATTGTATTTATTTATTTGGAATTCTCCCTTTTTGTGTGTTGTAACTGAAAGAATTATTTTTGGAAGTGGGGGAAGGGAAAGTTCTTCTGTGAGAAACTTTTCCCAGGAGTGTCAGTACACAAGGTCCTGAAGAATTGTCCGTGGCTTTATAAAGCAGAAGGTAACAATTGCTCCATTGATTTTCAAAAGGCATAGTCGAATCCTGTAGGCAGAACCCCCATTAGGATCTGCCCAGAAAGGAACAGTGCCTTTTTACTAGAGTGTTTGTTAAAGATTACCAGTCTTGATAGTACTGAATTTCAAAAGCTAATGCTTTAAACTAGAAGAATAGGCAAAAGTGGTAACAATAATGCAGTGGCTGTGGTCTCATATTGTGCTCACTTTTGTAATCCATACATCAAAGGGAATTTTCCCCCAGAAGGAGTGGTTTGGGGTGTACTGCTGCTGAATTGTGCATTATGTTTCAGCTTCAGGTTACAAAAACAATCATGTTTTGAAGCACAGGCAGCCGTAGGATGTAAAATCTACCTCCTGGAAGGCTTACTAATTTTTGTCAAGTCCTTCGTAAAAATGCTATAATTAAAGACAATGCAGTCGGTTTCTCCCGCACTGAGAGATTGCTCACCATTTGCTTAATTAGCTCCCAAGACTCCAGTGTTTTATATTGGAAAAAGAGAAACACAGAGAAGCCTAGCTTTCCAGCTAAACTTTGCAAATAGGTAATGGAATACAAAATTCAGCTGTTCTCATTCCCTCAGCATATCATACTTTCGTGCAGCTGATTCAACTCATCAAACAATATAGATCACCTGTTGCTAATTTTGTAATATTGTTCTCATTGTGTCAGAGTATGAATCCCCCTCTTCCACCACCACCTCCTCTCCTGTCTGCTGCCAACGTTGCGTCCGCCGGTTCTGGGCCTCCGTCTGCAGGTGTAGCACAAAGACCTGCATCAGGATCAGCTGAGCAAATGGCACATTTACGACCACAAAGTCGACCGAGTGTGTAAGTAAAATTGCAACTTGTTGCCCGTCGAAGAAATGGAATGAGATCAATAACTGTGTGCGTACTTATTTCTTGCCAGCTGGCCTATGTTCTGCTAGCGTTCCCAAAAAGCCATGCCTGTAATGAGGAACAAAGGCAACAAAACATACATAAAGGTGATATCCCCAAACAGCCTTCTCGCTGAGGGCTATTTATGACTTAGGTAAATATAATCAGATGTTGCTGCATATTGAAAAGACTCACTTCAAAAAATAGAAAGTATTTATCATGCAAAAGATGAATGAATCCCTGCGTTAGGAATGAAGACTGTGTACATGCAAGCAGCAAGCCCTGGAGTGAATTTATCTGATGTTTTCTATTATGAATGGAATGAAAAAGCTATTCTCATGTGGAAGAGCTTATGCCAAAACACACCAAATGCTGTGTATCATTTAGACTGTTATATTAGCATGACATTGTCAGGCTGCTTATGCAAGTTGCGAGTGAAATTTGATTGAAGATTCTACAGTTTCATTAATTAGGGGGTGGCAATTTGCAGTGAAGGCAGAAAGCTGCTAGTTAGCACTATGTCTTCACGCTTGTAATACAAGGAAATGTGCGTCATCTTTCTGGGTGAAAATATTTTGTATATTAACATGTGCTGCTGACAGCATCGTTCTTCTTGGGAACTTCTCTGTGTGTGGTTTGGAGAAGAGGAAAGTTAAAAGGAAAAATAAAATTCAGGAGAGGTTGAACCATCTAATAAGGCATTTGAATAATGCAAGGACCACTTTTGTTCTGCGTCTTTTATTTTATCTTCCCACCAGGTTTCCTCCCACTCCAAAAGAATGCCTTTCTTGTATAGCAGGTGCATCTGGGTTTGGGCTATTTCTTTGGCATCGAGCATTTCAGTTTTTTTTTTTTTCTTTTTTTTTTTTAGTGGATTACTATGCTTACTGCAGTTAATCAAGTTCCCATCTCATTTACTCCTGTTCTCCATCTTCAAAGCGTTGCTCTGTACGAGAATACTAAGAAAACTTAGATGGGTTTAACTAAAAGTGAAGTTAATGAACACCAATTAGCTACTTTCACAGGCAGCTTTACTGTGCAGCTTTGTAGATGATCCCTAAATCTTGTGCCAGTAAAGCCTTTTGTTTCCACTGTGTCATATGTTTGCCACTGTGTTGCCTTTAAATCATTTTTGCAGCTAATGCCAAGGTTCTTGTGTGGGCAGCAGAGAACAAAGATCTAATGGGAAAGGGAGAAGTGTACAGTTAATACTGCCCTTACTGACCAAGAGACATTTTTTCCTGAAGAGTGCTTCCTTTTGTTCTTGGGGTTGCAAGATTGGAAAGGCAACCAGTGCAAGTAATTGTGGGTTGTTTTTTAAAAAAGGAGTGTAGTGTACTTGCTCATCAGCCACCCTAATTGGCTGCCTCTGGTGAAAGTGTATTATTTTTGAGAAAATGTGATTTATTAGAGTATGTAATTTCTGAAAGGTCTGGGTCAGTAAGTGTAAGTTTTAAGGTTTGAAAGGTTTTATGTTTAACTCGTGGCAGAAAACAGAACGTTGTAATAGTAGAGCAGTGTCTCTGTTTAATGTGATAAAAGGAAATCTCGCAGTTACAAATTTTCCAGCATGTAATTGCAAGAGGTTCAGCTACTTAGATATTTATATATATTTAGTGCCTTAAAAAATGGGGGTGAAGTTTACCCACCCCCACTGTTATTTCTCATGCACTGTATTATGCTTTTAAATATGTTGCTTAGGAGAAAAAAAAAAAGGAAATAGGCTCTAAACTTGAACAACTGATATCTACCTTATGCATTAATTTCACGTTACAATAACACACATTTTTCCTAGCACCACAGAGAGTTGATGTTACAAAACCCCAATTACAGGGAATCTGGGAGTTTCAGGGAGATACATGGAGTGGAGGATTACAAATACAGGGAATTCCAATGTTGCATTTTGAAAACTATCTCTGATAATGATATTTTCAGTTCCAACAATCAGTACTTGCCCCAAAAGGAGCTGACATGTCACAAAGAGGAGGAGATACTAGAAATGAGCATACTAAGAGAAAAGAGGAATATGATGGGATAACTAGTCAATAAGCACTTATTAATTAAATTCATTAACTTAGGAAAATGAATGATCTTATTAGATGTATTAAGTATGATAGTAAAGCACAGCTGGGAATATATTCTTAACAATCATTTCCCCCTAATATTGTCAAAACTTCTGTTTTAATGCTGTAGCAGTATGATGGATCACCAAATATGTAACCCTTTCTGCCATGCCTTGTCATGTCTGACTCTAGGCTCTCTCTCAGCTAGAAAACACAAGCCTAAAACAATTAGAAACCATCACGTAGCAGTTGCATATATTGAGAATCATCCACTCTTCTCTCATTTAGATACATTGCTATATATCCGTACACTCCTCGGAAAGATGATGAACTGGAACTGCGGAAGGGAGAAATGTTCCTGGTGTTTGAACGCTGTCAAGATGGCTGGTTCAAAGGAACTTCCATGCATACAAGCAAGATTGGTGTTTTTCCTGGCAATTACGTGGCTCCAGTTACGAGGTATGTTTGTATGCAGATGGATAAATAGTTTCCCTAATTTTCAAGTCCAAACGATTTTGGTTTTGTACTTAATCCTAAAAACTAGGTAGTAGAAGAGCTGTGGGCTTTAGCAGCTAGCTCATTTTTCAGTTGTGTTTCACTTTTGTATTTTGAATTTTGACAGGACAGTGACAAGTGCGTCCCAAACAAAAGTTCCCATGTCTACTGCTGCCCAAGCAGGACGAGTGGTAACGATGGTCAGCCCTTCCACAGCTAGTGGGACGTCTCAGAAGCTCCAGGGGAATGGTGTGGCGGTGAACTCGAGCTCAGTACCCACAGCTGTGGTTTCTGCAGCACATATCCAAACCAGTCCTCAAGCCAAGGTCCTCGTGCACATGACAGGACAAATGACGGTCAACCAGGCTCGCAATGCAGTTAGAACAGGTAATAATAGTAATAATTTAGAAAATAAATTTTGTGAGGGAAGGGGGAGCCAAACTCTAGAGTCTGTCTGAGGAGATAGCTGGAGCCATGCTTTGTCTAAATATATGTTAAATTAAAGGGACAAAAAAGGCCTTTTAATGTTGTTTTGTAGAGCTGGATGCTTTATGAAATGCAAGTTTATTGCTCTGAATGTGGCATCTCTTAATCTCCTTTAAGTACTTGTCTGTATCTGCTGCAGCTGTTGGGAATTTGCATGCAAGCACTTTGAGGGAATTTTTTTATTCCAGCACTATCTGGGATGGGGGCATATTGTCTGAGCTTCCCTACTCATGCAGTTCATGTAAATAGGGACATATAAATATAAAAATAGGGACATCTTAATTATAGCTTATTTTTTAACCAGTGTTAACTGCATAACAAATACATATTTCTCTAGTTTGGCACTCATGTTTAAATTCCCTCCTAACATCTTTGAAGACCTTTTGCATTTTTTCTTTCTTCTTTTTCAGTGTTTTAGTTTGGGGTTGGTCTTGAGGCATTCCAGTTTGTTCTCTAAACTATTGACTGTAACTTCTGCCTTTGGCTCTGAAACACTATGACTATCCTGTGTTCAAGATGTGAACCATCTATTACATAAAACCGTGTGTTTCTGATGGGTCTGTTTCCATATTCACTGTGAAAGGCCGTATCATAGTGAACCTCCTGTTATTTAAACTTGGATCCAGAGAGAGTCATAGTTTTGCTTTCAAGATATTTTGTTTACCAAATTCATGTGCTTCTCTGTGGATATGCCAACTAGGATAATACCACCCAATTAGAGCCTTAGGGATTCCAGTTGCTCTTAGGGACTGAAGAGAAGATAAAAGATCCAAATGAATCCCCTTAAGGACCATTATGAATCTTACGGTCTCAGGATCTATGAATTAGCCCACACTCCTTTAAAGTTGTTCATCTCCATATAAAACCTTACATGCACGTTCAGATGTCAGCACCAGATTTGTTTTTGAAGGTAGGATATCTGGAGATGTCTCTATTTAGTACCTTTATTTCCCTAATTGGCCCAATCTTCTGTCAGTATGATCTTGTAAGGGACTATTGCATCTGATGCAGTCCAGCAACTTCATTCTTTACCATGAAATGAAAGCAAAGGAGCCCAAGTGTTATTGGCAGATGGAAAGAGAAAAATAAAGCAAAACATCTGTATATTCCTGCCTCTCAGGCACAGGTGTTTTCTACTCTAAATCCTGCTTTTGCCCTGCTGAGGAGCTTCCAAGTGAGAGCACAAAGGGAAAAGCTCCTGCAGGCCCCAGAGGACCTTCTATTCCTGCACTTCCTCAGTTCTGTGCTGTCAAGATGAGTAAGTTCTTACAATTCTGGTCAGCTGGAAAACATGACAGCCAACTTTCCAAGTCCAAAATGGAAAAATGGAAGGGGCTGCCATCTCTTCATGGGGAGCTTTACAGTGGATTGCAGTGTAAAGGTGTCCCGTTGGGAGATGGAGAGTTCTGTTCCTTATAATGACCTATTTAATTAGAAGTGACGCAGTAATGGCTGCTTTACGCTTTACTGCAGAAAATCTTGTAGTCAGCATCTGCAATGTGTTCGTTTTGAGTTTTCCCAAATACCTTTTCTGAGCATTATTTTCTAGTTTTTGGACTAGTTTTGAGGACTAATGCTGTGCTGTGCAGGGCTCTTCAATTTCAGTTTAGCTTAGGACTTTGAGGACCCTTCTTCAAATAGTTTAGCTGTTGCCTGCCATCAGCTGCTGAGGAGCCCAGTGTTTTTTCTTCATTTGGGAGGCACCAGGAAAGAAATGTGCACCCTGCCTGTTTTATGGGTGACTTGATGATTTCTTCTTCTGGATCAAGGATAAGAAAACAGAAACAGAAAGTTATTACATGCCTGTACCATTATTACTTGCATGCAAGTATAGTTGCATCGTGAAGAACAGCAGCTGTTTTTAAGAAAATTGACTTTGTCTCATAATCAATAGACACCAGTAATAATCCATTTTAACTAAAACTCCTGCTTGCATTGCTGCTGTCCTATCCGTCCTATCTGAAGTAGTTGTAGTACTTGGGATTTAAAAGCGTCTGTGGCAGGGGGGAGAGAGTATGTGTCACAAAATTATACATAGCATTTAGTTGTCGTTCCTTCTTAGAAAAGACTTCTGTTTCTTAGATATTGTACTTGGATATAATACAAATTATAGGATTGTTATATCAAGTCTGTGAACTGTGTCAGTCTTTGCTAATATACTGCTGGCTCAATCTAACCAAATAAGCAGGGGAGTTAGTGAAGAGAGCAGAATAAAGAGAGCAAGTGCTAGAGGCTTGATTCCAGGGTATTGCTTACAACTAGCCTGAAACTCCAATTAGCATTTGAAATATCAGAGTGAACTGATATTTGAGAAGTGTGTGCACCAACCTGAGTGATGTCTGTTTCCACATACTTGGAGGAAAGAGGCTGTGCAGTACTGGGATGCTGCATTCTGCCTCATATTGTTCGGGTAAGATGATGTCTGCAGTTCATTTCACCCAGTGGTACAGAGATACTTGAGCTGTTCAAATGACCTAATGCAAGTGCTGGTGACCATTTAAGCATATAGTTTTTGGAACGGACAAATTTGTTCCTGCAGAGCTCTGTTCTATGTAGCTAGGCTGTAGCAAGGCTAGTTTATTCAGCCCTATGCAACTTCCAGTCTAGATGTTCCTTTTATTTCACGGGGGTATGAGTAAAACTACTTCTATATTTAAACATCCCAGGAGACAATAGCTTACATTTTCAAAGAAACCACTCATAGCAGTAATTGCCACTGTACTTATTGTTTGAAAGACCCACTAAATCTGTTGTGGATTTACTGAATAGTTTAGGGAAAACAATCCAATTATATTTTTAGCAGCTTCTATAAGGAGTGTTCCTTCCTACATTGTTTTATGTGCCCTGACAACTATGCAGCATATTTAAATGAGCAAACAAGTTGCACGCAGGATTTAGCTGCCTCTTATGAACTAAAATGTAATCTTCACTTTGCATCTCAGTTCATACATGAAGCATTTTTCTGTGCAGCATAGATAACCTTCATAATAGTTGCAGGTCTGTAGTTATTCTGTCACTTACTGGTGCAAGTAGCAGGCATATGCTAGCTCTTTATTCCGGTGAGATAAATTTGATGCCATGTGACATGTCACTATTGTATTACCTCAGAGAATGGTAGGAAAGAAGCCTCTTAGGATTTTTATTGGCCAGTTATAATACAGTGACCGTACCTCACTTCTAATGTGTCCTGTGAAAAGGTTAATGCTCCTGCGTTTTCCTTCTCTGTTCCAGTTGCTGCGCACAGTCAGGAAAGACCCACGGCCGCCGTGACGCCCATCCAGGCACAGAGTTCCGCGTGCCTTATCCCTGCCGCCGTGATCATTCCCCACCACCCCGTGGCTTCCCAGCAGCTCCCGCCTCAGCACGCGAGCGCCGCGGCCTACGTGGCCGCCGTCAACGCGAACCGCTCGGCCGTCCCGCTGGCCTGTGCCGCGGCTTCCCTGGGCTCTCCCGGCGCCACCGCTCCTTGTGTGGAGGGAGATGTCACCGGGAGAAGCGGGAACGCTCATCCCGGAGCTCCCGCGTCCCCGGATACTGCTTTGGGAGCCGGTGGAAATGCTGCTGTTGCTAAACCAGACAAGGACAGCAAGGTGGGCAGAGAATAAAATCGCTGCCTTGAATTTTGAACTCTCCTCTATTTCTGTATGCAAATTTGTAAGGAGTCCCTTCCAACCTCAACCATTCTGTGAGTCTGGTTTCTGTTTCCCCGTCTTCATTTTCTGAGTCACACCATGGTAAGGCTTTTAAGACTGAGCCATCCACTTGCAACTATAGCTATGGGCAAGTCCATTCTTGGCCAAACGAGAATAATTTAGGATGGATTGAAATGCAGAGCAGAGCATCCTTGTTGGAGGGTTGAAATAAGGCAGCAGATGCAGGCCATTAATATTAAAAACAGAAAGTGAATTGACACAGTTCAGAAGAGTCATTAGATTGACAGTTGGAATTTTAAATATTTTCTGTTTCTGGACTCGCAGCCAAGTTCCTGCATGTTTTAGAAAGCAGCGTGGTTATCAAATGCTGTCAGTGAGTGTCTCTAAACTGACAGGAGAAATTGCAGAAGACAATGAACTTCCAGGACCTTTAAAAGATCACTATAATAAAATAAAAGTAGTTTTTAGTGAAAATCGCTATTTGTTTAGCCTATATAAATAAGTGGAAAAAACTCTCATTTTGCTTACTACATCAGCAGAAAGGATACTTGCTCATGAACACAATAGTGTTAGGGACAGATGGATATATAGATAAAACACATGTTGCAAACCATGTTTATTGGATAAAGGAAAAAAAGCTGAAGTATCAAGCAGACAAGTTTCCTTTTTTAAATGTGAGTAGTAGAGTCTCTCTGAGTTGGTTTTCTTTCCTGAGTTTGTTTGAAATGCTTTCTTCTGGGTTTAAACTTATTCTCACTGGCCTGTGAACCATGAGATTATGTTATATGATAGGCAAAAAACCAAATTTCTCTTTCCAACTGTGTTTTAGACTGTGGTATCTTTATCATAATCTTTAATCTTTTTACCTTCTTTTAACAACTTCCTTTAGCTCTCAGCTGTTCTAGACAGTTGCTGTGCTATTCTTTGCCCACATGCACTCTCAGCTGAAGTTCATATTCTGTGCACTAATCTCTGCTACTTTTTAATTATTTTTGTTGATAATTATCAAATGGAGGTACCAATAACTTTGTTTTCAGAATTATTTACTGTAGGCGTGAAAGCAGAATAAGAGATCTTTAGGGAGGGCTTTTAGAAAATCCATTTGGAGCTTAAGGTTGAAGATGCTAACATATTTAGGTGACATTCTGGAGGGTTTTTTTTTTTTTCTCAACCATTTCATAGACAGCAGTTATTTGCTGAAATAGCTTGAAAATAATGGAGACTTGGAAGAGAGACAGATAATTTTTTTTTTCACTCATAGTTCACCAATTCCATTGCATCCTAAGCTATAATAAAAATCTCAGGTTGCTCATGCTCTTCTGTTTCTGTGGTTAGTTTATTTTTGTCTTCAGGGTTTATAATCTGGCACCTCTCTTAAGCACTAAACTCTCTCAGTCAAAGGGTTGGTAAGAAGATCGCTGCCACGCCCCTTAAAAAAAGACAAGAAACACAAAAGCTACTTAAATAATTCTCTTCAGGGTAAGTAATAGTCTTGAGGGATCCCTGTCTGGACAAGCAAAAAGAATGCTTACAATTCTCCCCTCTAGCAGAGCAGCAAAACACAATACATTCCCCTTGTGGCAAATTTCTGCTAAATTGTGAAGGTTTTCCCTTACAGAGGGAGGATAAATAGAAGACACTTATCTAGACAGCAGCCTCTAGGGCAGACTTTTCTCCCAGTTTGGTTTGATAGAGTCTTTATTCTTTCCTAGAAATTTCTATGATAGCTAACTATTTTACCTCCTAGATTCACTTTGTGGAAATCTGACTCCTTGCTACTGCTTCTAGACTACCTTTTGGGCCAGTGGTATTGGCCTTTATGATAAACCTTAACTTACCTTTAACAAATGAAGCGAAAGGCCTTAGGAAATTTATGGTCCAAAGAAATTACTGTTTTTCTCTTCATGAATTTAATACTTTGTAGTTATTTGTAGAGTTCTCTTCCTGATTTACTGAGTCTTCTCTGATCCAAATGCCATCTAAAGAAGGAAAAGTTCAACTCTTCACTAAATACCTGTATTCTAAAATGAAGCATTTTTTGTGTTTCACAGAAAGAAAAGAAGGGTTTGCTGAAACTGCTTTCGGGGGCATCCACTAAGCGCAAGCCCCGAGTGTCTCCTCCAGCCTCCCCGACCCTGGAGTCTGAGCAAGCGGCGGCAGAGCTGGCCCTGCAAGGTGCAGTGGGGCCAGAGCTTCCTTCAGCAGGTGGCCACAGCAAAGCTGGACCCTGTCCCCCCGATGGTGAGGCCTCTGCACTGGCGCAGGAGACGCTGCATCGGAAAACGAGTTCCCTGGATTCCAATATTCCGATAGCGCCGCCTCCTCGGCAGCCTTGCTCGTCCCTGGGTCCAGTCCTGAATGAATCCAGGCCTGTTGTCTGTGAAAGGTAAATTACCGTAGGCAAACTAAAAGAAAGTGCATTTCTGACATACACAGTGTGTGTTAGGATTGCTAGAAGTCTTTCAAAATACTGAGATCATAGAGAAAAAAAATGAGTCCTTTATTTTTTATGGTGCTTTATGTGTATATCAATCAACTAATGTTTGTGTTTGTTTACTTTGAGGTTTTGGAATGAATACTATGATCATAGGTCTGATATGAGAACTGAGATATATAAAATAAGCCTCCTATTTTGCAATTCATTAATGCATTATAATTTTGCATATATGGTTAATCATGTTAGTTCTTTTAAGCTTATTAGCAGTGTATAACTGCAGACATAAGTGTACAGTGAATAAGATCCTTATCTGTGAGTAGACTTTGCATGTGATTTTTTCAGCTGTTGCAGAGATGCTTTCAGTACCTGAGTGCTGTGCCTGTTGCTGTGCTCTGCTTCCTAGAAAGTGAGCCCAAAAAGCACTTTGTCTTCTGGATTCTGAAACCACTAGACAGTTGCTTTAAAGTTCTGTCACTTTTCCTTGTCCCCCTGCTGCTCTCAAGTTTTGAGGTCCTTGGTGGGTTGCATGGACAGAGGAGAAAGTGGCAATTTTCTGAATCCTCTTGTAGTAGACAAGCAATTTGAAGAATCTCATAGGATTTCTTTTCCAGCAGATAGAGGACTTTGTGGCATGCAAAAAAAAATATTGCAGTTGCACTGTAACAGTTGTAGAAATGAACTGATTGGTGCTAGCTATGTTAGGCTTTGATCTGATGTTAATTTGTGCTATGTGGATGTATCATTACTTTAGAGTACCCCTGTCCTTCAGCTACATCCACATAGCAATAGCCAGCCAGCGTGCAGGTTTTCTGCTTTGTCCTTAATTTGATTTGTCATTGCTTTATATTTTTAAAGGTTATTATTGCTTCAATACACTCTTCTTCAGGAAACTTTTATTTGTGATTGAAATTCTGAAGGGATTTTACACTTACATGTGGAAAATAAAAACTGGAAGAATTTTCTTTAAAAATGACACCATGTATTTTCAAGTTACCATAGCTGCTTGGGACAGTAATATATTTTTAAGCTTTGATTGTGAAAATATCGATTTCATTCTGGTACGAACAGTAGGTGTGTAAAATCACTTGCAACCTCACAAAATGTCGGTTTTTCAAGTATGTTACTTTCATGATAGAGTTTCTTTTCTCTGAGCTACTTACTGAAAACAATGCTGAATGTGCATTGAACTATCAATAACATACACTAAAATAATCCTTTTAATCTGTGTATTCTTATTATTTAGTTATACGATAATTTCCACCAGGAAAATGCTGCCACAAAGTCATTGTCCCTGCTCGCCTATTGTATTTTTTTCAGTGTATTTAAGTAGAATTGCATCTTTACACTGGATTCTCCTTGTCCTTTTCAGTGAGGCATTAGAGCTTTCCTTGCTGACACACTCATGCCATGTTTCCATTTTTTTCTAGGCCAAAGTGCTTAAAATGTATTGCTTAATAATGCTTATTACCTAAAATATAGTTTATTTCTTAATCTACCAGCATTCATTTCCATTAGACCTGTAAGAAGGGGTGAATAAGAGTGCATCATACTGCAGTGCAGTGAAAAGTGGGGGGTGTGGAGGAGAATATTCATGAAGATAAACTCAACAAAAAGGTGAAGAACAGAAACCTGCAGCTGAGATTATTCTGCTCCTTCATATCACAGGCTACGGTCTGTTTGAAAAAAGCAGCAGGATTCTTTCTAGGCAGACCCTGGCTTTGAAGCTTTAGCTATTAGTGCGGTTCAATTTTCAGAGGTTACTAGAGGATTTAGGAGTAACGTTCTGTGGATGTTCTCTGAGAAAAGGGAGCCTAGTGCCTGGCACAATGCTGAGAAGTGCTTGAAAATGTGCTGAAAAGATCATTTTTTTGTTACTGAGTTTTCCACAAATCCTGGCTGTCTTTAAGGTGAAATTACAAATTCTTGCTCTAATTCCACTGATTTTTCTCTTCACTGTAATAGCAAGCATATTTCCTGTATGTTCTACGGAAAATAGGGCTAGCTTCTAATCATGGAGAATAAGTGGACTTGGCATGTTTGGTAGCACACTAGCTTTTTGTGCTATGGATTTGCAGGTAAATACTTAGATTCCCATAGCCATTCCTCTAAAGGAAGGGACGAAGATGACGCTCCCTCCACATTGCAGATGTTCAATGCAGCAAACCATTAAGTCACCATTCTTATACCATTCCTATACTCAGTCTTCCCCAGTGAATTCGGAGGGTTGCTCACACTATTCCTCAGTCCTTCATGTTCTCGTTTTATGGAACAAGAGGTAGAAGACAGTTTCAAGTAGTCTTTGCCAAATCTGATTTCCTCCCCCCCCCGCCTTTTTTTTCCACTTCTTTATAAAGGGAAGCATTGGTTAAAAAGCTTTAAGTTTTCCCGTAAATATACAGCACGGTAATAATAAGGTTCCCAGCACTCCACAGTGGTGATGAAGACCCGATGTTGACCCTAAATACACGTTACTGCATATCCTAAATTATAGCACAAGTAGAGTCTTTCATCCAGTTAGAGTGAAGGACAGCAGTAATCTTATTCTGTGATTAAAGTCGTTCCACGTCACTTTATGCACCACAAAATGACCAGCGTGACATCAGTGAGCAGGCCAGTGGTTTCAGAGGACAGCAGTTGTTTGCCAGGTCTGGCAGCACCGAATGCCATCGAGCACGGGCCTGCCCTAGAAGGGGCCTGATTTTCTGTAGGGGTCAAGGCACCTACTCAGCAGATCCCAGAGCTGCAGAGCCAGCAGGGCAGGTGAGCGGACCAGGAATGGTAAAAATTCAGAGTTTAAACGAAAATCTCTGAAATTGAATAATGAATATGAATTTAACTTATGCAATAACAGTAACTCCAGGTCTTTGTGTCTATTGTTCACATGTGAGAATGCAATACTTTTCTCCATTTGATGGTTAGACAAGTGGTTCATAGAACAAGACAGGAGAAGCACAAATAAAGTTATCTAAAAATCAGCTGCACGTAGCTGGGAAGAAAATCAATCTCTTTGTCTAGTGAAATAGTAACAATGAAGAGAAGGAGAAAAAGGAGGATCTTTTGATCTCCTTGAAAACTATCACAATGAAGAGAAGGAGAAAAAGGAGGATGCACTCTTTTGATCTCCTTGAAAACTATCTGAAATGCAGTATTAGAAATGAAAAGCAGAATGGAGAAATATTAAAATAGACTAAAATAAATCTTTTCACAAATGCAGAGTACAAGAGAGCTGTGGGATGCAGCAGACCCATTAGGAACCTGGGAAGGAACTGGTGTCAGATGCAATGGATGCTCTGAGAAGCTTAAATATTTTTATAATGAAAATATTTTATCACTGACTAACTACAAAGTTAGGATACTTTTAAGGTTAATGAAAGGTACCATAAGACAGTCAAATGTAAAGGAGAAAATACGTTCTGCATAATAAATGCATGAAAGATATCTATAGCTGAGGTGACCAAAAAAAGACTTGCAAATATCAAAATATTTACATATACTGAAGAAGGAGATAAGCAGGCATGTCCTTTGAAAGATCAGAATAGGCAGGAATAAACATGTTTTTTTCAAAATGTAAGTCATGCTTAGCAAATGTGAATAATTTTTTCAGGGACCTGGCAATGAACTTCTGCACTGAAGCATAAGCTATTTTGCCCTGAAAGAAATTTGTAATGTTGGCTGTATGTTATAAGCAATAAATTAAAAAAAATAGTTTTGTTCTGTAGCTGATAGAGGATGAGATGAGTGGACAGCTGTGTGAATCTGAGTCTGGATCTGATCACCCAGATTTGGCCAAATAGAATTTGTAAAAATGCAATATAAAATTAGATGCATGTCTTAGCATCTTAGATTTTAAGGTGTGAAGTATAGCAGCACATAAACTGAGCTGAATAAGATGACATTTTTTCTATCCTGAAAAGGATAGAAAGGTTCTTATGTAAAAGTAATGTTAAAAAACAACAGTGCAAGTGAACAAGTTTTATTAGCCTCTTATTTTGTTCTGTGTGTCAAGGGCCCTCCCTGGGATAACATCATATTGCGTGTACAGTCATAAAGTTACGTCCAGTTACTCTCAAGAATGCTTTGATTACTGCTGTGTCATGCTGCTTGGAAGAGCCTGCAAGTTTATATCCAAAAATGTGTTTACAATTTTCTCCTGTTACTTAACCTCTTAATACATGTATTTTTTACAAAGATCTGTTTGAAAACTACACTATGAAATACATATATTTGACTTAAATTCTGTATTTTTATATTCTGTTCAAGATGTATTTAACTTCAGCTGATATAAACTCATCAAACAGTTCTAGGCAGATTTTTTTTTCTGATAAGTTTTAACATGCACAGGTTTATTATTCCTTTTTACAGGGATTGTTAAAAAAGAAAGACTAAAATAAGAGCTGCTTTTTTTTTTCCTTTTTTTTTTTTAATGCAGGTACAGGGTCGTGGTGTCCTATCCTCCACAGAGTGAAGCAGAACTTGAACTCAAGGAAGGTGACATTGTGTTTGTACACAAAAAACGTGAGGATGGCTGGTTCAAAGGCACACTGCAACGGAATGGAAAAACTGGCCTTTTCCCTGGCAGCTTTGTAGAAAACATTTGAGAAGATTCATTCCAAGACCTGCAAATCATACTGTACTGTAAGATAGCACAGGTATTCTACCAGAAAAAGCACAGTCATGAAATCCTTTCAAATGACTGTAAGAACAAAATTATACATATTCCTACATTGTCTATAGCACAATTACACCAGCGAACAAAGAAGATGAAGGCACCTGCTGGTTTTATCACTTTGGATTCCTAAGTGTGATGTGTGCCTTGTACTGTCTGATTTATTATATAGAGGAACTTTTTTTTTTCCAAGTATGTTACATAAATGAACAATTGTTTACAAGGCTGTAACTAATTTATTCTTGTTTTTTTAAAAAAAAAAACTTGAATTTTGTGTAATGGCTACAATTCTTGTGATTATGATTTTAGCAAATTATTAATTTATGAAAGAATAGCTAAGGGGAAGCTGGGTTCTCTCCTTTTAAGCAAGCAATTATATCTGATAAAGAGCCTCCCACTTACCCTCTAGACATTCTTCCCCTGCTGTGTCTGATCAGTGGAGTAAGTCTCTGTTTCATGAGTTAATGTTGAGTGGTGGTGATGTGGCGTTGAATAGAATTTGCCATGTGGAGAAAAAAAATGTGTATTTTGTTCTTAGGACAGAGGAGAAAAAAGAAAAAAAGTGAGTGGTCAGTGGTGTTCTTGAGTCTAGTTCTATTTCTTCATCAGTCACCCAGTTAGAGTAATGTTTCCAGGAGGTGAAAATGTACGTGAAAAACTAACTAAAATCCAACCTGATAGTTAGGACCATCTAAAGGTTAAGGAAGGCAGAAATTTAGGAGTGCTAATAAGAAATTCCCTATACCTTTTGTTTATGTAAGAATTTGGCTGTTTGAGCAAAGCTTAGCTTTGTATATATAGCCGGTTCTTTGGGCATTTACCTCTCAGGATCCAACAAATTTGGAAGCAATGTTAAAGCCCTACACTTAGAACGGTGATAGCTTCAAAACTGTTTGATAAGACTGAATATAAAAATTAATTCTAAGCTGTACTTAATGTCTAAAAATGCCTAAGAAGTGTAATTTGCTATGTTTTCTTCTCAAACTGATCTGCATGGCCAAGAGATGTTTAAAATGTCTGAGCAATAGTGGTGGTAAGTGATGCACTTGTGTTAAAGTAAAAGGCTGTATGAAACACTGTGAAAACTTTACTAACTTCTTAACCATTGCTATTTTGGTATGTTCTGACTTTTTTCTCTTTGTCTTGCATGTCTTGCTCAATTCTTGCAGTAATATAACTGTGCATGATCTACATTTTTCATTCACACTTCCTGTTGCTGGGTTATTTCGCTCTGAAAGTTTCCCAAAAGCCACTTGACCAAAACTAGTGAGCACCTCACCTCCAACCAGAGAGGGTGGCCAGTGTTTGAATCCTTAATAAAATATCATTCTGTCCTTGCTGCTGGCAGATATGAAGCATGAGGCCTGCAAGAAAAGTGATCTTTATCTTTCAGGGTGTTGTTAGAGATTTGACACTGGCAAATGCACTACTCAGCCAAGTTTGGTTTTTGTATTATTGTTTGATTATAGCAGTCTAGTTGTGATTCTTGCAAGACACTGAGCACCATCATCTCCAGCCAAAACTGCCGGAATTTGGCTGTTGCTCAGCACTTTACAGAGGGAAGCCAGTAGTGCGATTCCATATCGCACAGTACACAGAAGTAGTGATGAACAGGTATGCAGTGATGTATTAAATCCTTTATTGTGTTTTGGTTTTTCTCTTTTTTTGAAATTATACATTGAAAAATATCAAATATTAATGACAAGGATTTCTTGCAATATCAGGTAGTATCATGATGGTCTTAAAAATTAAAAAAGTATATCTATAAATTTATATAGTTGGAAATGACAGCATTCCCCAATTAATTGTCTCTCTGAAACACTGTATAATTCACCTTTTGTGTTTTTAAATATTTTTAAATAGTTTACTTGAATATTCATGTAATATATAAAGGTTTTGTGAAATGAATTTTAGTTAGAAAGAAGCTGATATCAGTTTTTGTCGGCATAAATTGGCACTAGTGTGTCATAATATTCTTATTTTGGAAGATTTAGTGCATTTTATATTAAAGACTACTAAAAGTTAATTTTTTTCTATCTCTATTCTCCATATTTTAAACTAAGTGACTAAGGTACCTCTATTAATAGAATTTCATGATGTAAAGTCAGTTAAAATCAGCTGTTAATCCAATAGTTTTGTTAGATGGAATACGTGATTTTTTTTTTTAACATTCTATAAATGTTTGTAAAAAGGGCTTATTACCTAGCAGTGAAACAATGACAAATGCAGTTTATCATACCTTTCCTGGGTTTTCCCTTGTTCTTTTTTATTTGGCTTGGGATTAATTCAGTGTAGAAACAGACAAACCCTGTACATTTGCTCTGTGTAATTCCATTAAAAAAAGAAGTTTTGTAAGATATTTTATATCTGTTTGAAGTCCAATGAATGTTACGTGTTTGATTTACTATGTTAAACTTTCAATCCTAATAAATATTTTCTTAGCAAATGGCTAAAGTATAAATGTGTATGCAAATATTAAACACCAATTAATCACAAAAAAAAACAATAAAACTTAATTTTCAGCATTTGTAGAAGGACATCTGTGCTAATAGAAAATGTTCAGATTTCATAATGTCAGATGTTCAGAATAATGGAGTATACTGCAAGAATTGTGGAGACCTGATGGATCTGGCTGGTATTTTCCATTTCTGTATTGCTGCAAGTAACTTCAAAGCAAGAAGGTAACTTCCATTTCAATTTGTTCACTGCTTACTAGTTTGCAATAAGGCACGTGGGAGTTAAAGTGCTTTCCTAGAGACATAAGCATCTAATGTAGTGGATCTGCTGTGTGTATATTGGGAGTCCCCAATGCTGGGAGTAAAGTATCTACCCTAACTTTGACTGATGGTGGAAGTATTGGGTGGTTGGAGACTCCTTTGTCCTGAAAGTAAGAGCCTGACCAGGAGATCTTGGCTTAGATGTGGTTCGTTGTCCACTATATGCGGGTTCATTACAAAAGGAATTTTAAAAGTGTTCACAAAACATTTAGACTCCCTAAATGTGACAGCTACTGTGATAGTTTCCTCGTTAGATAAGACTGACCTGGGCCTAGATCCTGACAGCAGTGGATCACACAGCATCTAGGCTGTAAAAACGGGGTGTCTTAACCTTTTTTATGGGACAGGGGAGAGGAATTGTAGGAATAGAGAAGATAGAAAATCGACTTTGTTCATCTTTTGCAGAAATGCGATCTGACATAATTGCATCCATAGTGCGTCCATAGGAGAAGAGTATACACAAACCTCATGGCTGAGCAGTAAAAGGAAGCATCTGATACTTTAGGTTGGTTTTATTTTGATATTGTAGTTCCTGAGTGATTCTAATATGTTTGGCTTGCCGAAGGTGCTTGAAATCTTGCCTGCCCTTGCTTCATTACCTCTGCCTTACAGCTGTAATACCAATTATGATAGTTTGGTATAGGCTTGAAAACATGGCTTGTGAGTCTTCTGACTTTTTTCGTAAGAGCTGGCAAAATGTTTTAACTGGATTGTTCTTCCCAGTAGCTTTAAGCAAATGTGTTTAAAGATATATTGGCTTTAATGAAATGTAATAATCTGCTTGTCTATTCAACAAGTTTTTATGTCTGACATACTAAAACTCCTTTGATAGTCTTTCATACATCTGCCCAGTAATAGCTATGTCACAGTTTTCTATGGGACATGTCAGTTCTGCTATTTTCTTTGGATTTTTGCCATGTATCTGCAATATTTATACTTCTCAAATCACTCCTAAGTGCTTTCTTGGGAAATGGTACGGATGTAATACACCATTCCCGCAGAACGGTGTCCAAGTGCCTCTCTTTCCGAAAGAGAGACTTGAAATCAGTAGTTGCTCTTGAAAACTTGAGTTCCCACCTTCTTTGGCCCTCAGTTTCCTCATTTGTCAAGCTGACACCCATGCTCTTGTGAGACATGTGACATAATACCTGTTTGGAAAGTAAATGGTCACGAGTTTTAGAGAGGTTCTGATGGATTAGACCTGCTCCAAATAGCATGAACAAATAGAACATCTAAGTCCTTTTCCTAATTTCCCTTAGAGCAGCACAAAAGAAATTGATTTCTGGGGATAAGAGACTGAGGCAATCCATTTGAACAGTTGAAGAGCATTTTCATCAGAATCAACTTGATCAGCATTGAGGAACAAAACAAAATTCCCTAGATCCAATCCAATTTGCAAAAGGCATTCAAAATGTAGCATAATGAGCACTTCATGCATGTCTATCAAGTCACAGCAGTTATACAGTCTGTAATGTTAGAAGATGTCAAAAATTACTTGATTTTCCTTCCTTCTACTATTTTCTGACAGCTTTATTTAAGTAAAAATGGAAGTGGCAAATCAGTTAACTTCTCCACTGATATTACTCAATGGATTAATGACAACTTAAGCACAGTAATGCTAGATGCAGATTTCAATTGTTCAGTTGTTAACTGGCTTGCAAAAATTTCTCTTAACACATACGTTCAAATGAATAGTACTTAGCTACGCTTTGCCAATTCTAGTTTCCAGTGTTATGATTCTGTTAATACAACATGCAGTACCCAAAAGCCTACTCATATTTGCATCTAATAGCCATTTTGATCAAAACCACTTCACAGGATGTGTCAAAACACTAGCTACAGTTTAACTTCAGGGTGTTGGGAACAGCCTGCGCAACAGGAAACGAGTGGAAATTTGGAACACAGCAAGAAAATATGCTGCCAGTAAAAAAGGGAGAAGGAAAATTATTAACTTTTAAGATCTGCACAGGTGTTCTGTCACTGATATACTAGGTCGAATCCCTCTCCACAGACTAATGGACTTTGAGTCCCACACATTCTATAAAACACGGGCAATAACAGCCTTTAAAATATCTAGATTCTTTGGCATCAGAACACATGACTGAACTCAAAATTACTGCAAATCAGTGCTACTTCACTGATTTCATTAAACTTTGCTGGCGTACACTGAATATGCCCCCTGCTGTTAAATAGTGAAAGAAAATATCTCATCTGCTCTAGGGGAACAAATATATCTGGAAGAAACTGAGCCAATAGATTCTTATACTTGGAAAATACAGAGCTATTAGGGCTGTGTTATCCTTTTCTCAAAAAATGTTAGTCCCAGTAATATGGATGAGGCACTAGATCAAAGATGATGCAGTTTAGCAGCACTGCAATACATGAGAGACTTGATCACTTTTCAGTCAAACCTATAAATTTTCAGTTCCACAATTGCAGAGCAGGGTTTGGTTTGCTAACAACTGCTGACCCCAGAATCTCTTGTGGTTAGTTGCTGCAGTATTTTCTCATGGTATATCTGTGCATGCTTGGGAGAGGAGATGAGTCAGCAGCTGAATGACTTTCAAGTGGTGATTGACTTTGTTCTGCACAACAAGGGACGTGCCCTAGGTCAAATTTCTTATTTCAGCTGGCTGAACATCTCAGTAAACTGAAGAGGTCTAGCTTTAAGAAGTTTATATTGAAACAAAAGTTGGACGATTTTTTTTCTCTATCCTCCTTTTTAGTAGGCAATCCCTGTTTGTCTTTTGAATACACATGGAGCAGGAAAGT